AGGGGTGGTCGGGGAGCGCGAGAGAGGAGCCCCGACCACTGCACCCGGTCGGTTTTCAGATTGGGTTCCTACGACCATGGGAAGAGGAGTGGGAACAGTATTATACTGAGGAGTCGGAGGATGACGACGACGACGAGGTTCTGTTCCCTAACTCGTGGGGGCTCCCGGAGGAGTCCTAACAGGAAGAGGAGTGCCGACGACGGAGACCCGAGAGGCAACCCCAAGAACATTTTTGGGGGGGGCACACAGGGTGGATGACGAGGCTACAGGAGGCTAAAAGGGAGAAGGAAAGTGTAGAGGCACGGCGAGAGGAGCTGGTTAGGCAGCAGAAGGAGCCGGGGTTAATAAAGGAACCCAGTCCCGCTCCTCGCACCAAGCAAGTGGTGCGTGTCGCCAGTCCGGTCCGGCCCGTTCCTGCTCCCCGCACTAAGCCAGTGGTGCGCGTCGCCAGCCCGGTCCGGCCCGTTCCTGTCCCTCGCATAAAGCCAGTGGTGCGCGTCGCCAGCCCGGCCCGGCCTGTTCCTGTCCCTCGCACCAAGCCAGTGGTGCGCGTCGCCAGCCCGGTCCGGCCTGTTCCTGTCCCTCGCACCAAGCCAGTGGTGCGCGTCGCCAGCCCGGCCCGGCCTGTTCCTGCCCCTCGCACCAAGCCAGTGGTGCGCGTCGCCGGCCCGGCCTGTTCCTGTCCCTCGCACCAAGCCAGTGGTGCGCATCGCCAGCCCGGTCCGGCCTGTTCCTGTCCCTCGTACCAAGTCAGTGGTGCGCGTCGCCAGCCCGGCCCGGCCTGTTCCTGCCCCTCGCACCAAGCCAGTGGTGCGCGTCGCCAGCCCGGTCCGGCCTGTTCCTGTCCCTCGCATCAAGTCAGTGGTGCACGTCGCCAGCCCGGCCCGGCCTGTTCCTGCCCCTCGCACCAAGCCAGTGGTGCGCGTCGCCAGCCCGGCCTGTTCCTGCCCCTCGCACCAAGCCAGTGGTGCGCGTCGCCAGCCCGGCCTGTTCCTGCCCCTCGCACCAAGCCAGTGGTGCGTGTCGCCAGCCCGGCCGGCCTGTTCCTGTCCCTCGCACCAAGCCAGTGGTGCGCGTCGCCAGCCCGGCCCGGCCTGTTCCTGCCCCTCGCACCAAGCCAGTGGTGCGCGTCGCCAGCCCGGTCCGGCCTGTTCCTGCCCCTCGCACCAAGCCAGTGGTGCGTGTGTCCAGTCCGGGTACTGTCACGCCCTGACTCTGGGGACTCGTATATGTTGAGTCAGGGTGTGTATGTTCTATGTTGTGTATTTCTATGTTGGGTTTCTATTATGTGTAGATCTATGTTGGCCGGTGTGGTTCCCAATCAGAGGCAGCTGTAGCTCGTTGTCTCTGATTGGGGACCATACTTAGGCAGCCTATTGGCACTAGTGGGTTGTGGGATCTTGTTCCGTGTTAGGTATGTTGTTTGTGTACCTTGGACTTCACGTTTCGTTTCTTGTTTTGTCGTTGTGTTTATAAGTCTAATAAACATGTATGCATATCACGCTGCGCCTTGGTCTGACCCGTTCATGAACGAAGAGACTGCAGAGATAAAGGAAAGGGCAGTGTCCTGGAAATGACAGTCTATTTTTTGGTTCCACGGGTAAAAAGTTTGAAGAAGTGATTTGTGTCGATTTAAGAATCGGCTAAAAACACCACGAAGCGATTATTTGAGAGGTACATATACATTTCTAACAATATATACATATGAACTTGCTCACCCAAACGTAGACGTACATCATGGGTGAGAAAGTAGAGAATATGAGTTTAAGGTTGTGCCGTTGTTTGATCATGTGATAAGTTTTAATGGGTAATCGGACCATAACTAATGTGGTTATAGACGTAATGTATAATATAGTAGAGCCAACAGAGGGTTCCATTGAACTATTATGGTTTATTGGGCATTTCAATGGCATAAGGTGAAATCTGTAAAAAAAAATAAAAAAAAATAATACTTTTTCCAGAAAATCACATTGTAGGACTTTTTATGAATTTATTTGCAAATTATGGTGGAAAATAAGTATTTGGTCAATAACAAAAGTTTCTCAATACTTCGTTATATACCCTTTGTTGGCAATGACACAGGTCAAACGTTTTCTGTAAGTCTTCACAAGGTTTTCACACACTGTTGCTGGTAATTTGGCCCATTCCTCCATGCAGATCTCCTCTAGAGCAGTGATGTTTTGGGGCTGTCGCTGGGCAACACGGACTTTCAACTCCCTCCAAAGATTTTCTATGGGGTTGAGATCTGGAGACTGGCTAGGCCACTCCAGGACCTTGAAATGCTTCTTACGAAGCCACTCCTTCGTTGCCCGGGTGGTGTGTTTGGGATCATTGTCATGCTGAAAGACCCAGCCACGTTTCATCTTCAATGCCCTTGCTGATGGAAGGAGGTTTTCACTCAAAATCTCACGATACATGGCCCCATTCATTCTTTCCTTTACACGGATCAGTCGTCCTGGTCCCTTTGCAGAAAAACAGCCCCAAAACATGATGTTTCCACCCCCATGCTTCACAGTAGGTATGGTGTTCTTTGGATGCAACTCAGCATTCTTTGTCCTCCAAACACGACGAGTTGAGTTTTTACCAAAAAGTTCTATTTTGGTTTCATCTGACCATATGACATTCTCCCAATCCTCTTCTGGATCATCCAAATGCACTCTAGCAAACTTCAGACGGGCCTGGACATGTACTGGCTTAAGCAGGGGGACACGTCTGGCATTGCAGGATTTGAGTCCCTGGCGGCGTAGTGTGTTACTGATGGTAGGCTTTGTTACTTTGGTCCCAGCTCTCTGCAGGTCATTCACTAGGTCCCCCCATGTGGTTCTGGGATTTTTGCTCACCGTTCTTGTGATCATTTTGACCCCACGGGGTGAGATCTTGCGTGGAGCCCCAGATCGAGGGAGATTATCAGTGGTCTTGTATGTCTTCCATTTCCTAATAATTGCTCCCACAGTTGATTTCTTCAAACCAAGCTGCTTACCTATTGCAGATTCAGTCTTCCCAGCCTGGTGCAGGTCTACAATTTTGTTTCTGGTGTCCTTTGACAGCTCTTTGGTCTTGGCCATAGTGGAGTTTGGAGTGTGACTGTTTGAGGTTGTGGACAGGTGTCTTTTATACTGATAACAAGTTCAAACAGGTGCCATTAATACAGTTAACGAGTGGAGGACAGAGGAGCCTCTTAAAGAATAAGTTACAGGTCTGTGAGAGCCAGAAATCTTACTTGTTTGTAGGTGAACAAATACTTATTTTCCACCATAATTTGCAAATAAATTCATAAAAAATCCTACAATGTGATTTTCTGGAATTTCTTTTCTCAATTTGTCTCTCATAGTTGACGTGTACCTATGATGAAAATGACAGGCCTCTCTCATCTTTTTAAGTGGGAGAACTTGCACAATTGGTGGCTGACTAAATACTTTTTTCCCCCACTGTAATTATTTGATCACCTACCAACCAGTAAGAATTCCGGCTCTGACAGACCTGTTAGTTTTTCTTTAAGAAGCCCTCCTGTTCTCCACTCATTACCTGTATTAACTGCACCTGTTTGAACTCGTTACCTGTATAAAAGATACCTGTCCACACACTCAATCAAACAGACTCCAACCTCTCCACAATGGCCAAGACCAGAGAGCTGTGTAAGGACATCAGGGATAAAATTGTAGACCTGCACAAGGCTGGGATGGGCTACAGGACAATAGGCAAGCAGCTTGGTGAGAAGGCAACAACTGTTGGTGCAATTATTAGAAAATGGAAGAAGTTCAAGATGACTGTCAATCACCCTCGGTCTGGGGCTCCATGCAATATCTCACCTCGTGGGGAATCAATGATCATGAGGAAGGTGAGGGATCAGCCCTGAACTACACGGCAGGATCTGGTCAATGACCTGAAGTGAGCTGGGACCACAGTCTCAAAGAAAACCTTTAGTAACACACTACGCCGTCATGGATTAAAATCCTGCAGCGCACGCAAGGTCCCCCTGCTCAAGCCAGCGCATGTCCAGGCCCGTCTGAAGTTTGCCAATGACCATCTGGATGATCCAGAGGAGTAATGGGAGAAGGTCATGTGGTCTGATGAGACAAAAATTGAGCTTTCTGGTCTAAACTCCACTCGTCGTGTTTGGAGGAAGAAGAAGGATGAGTACAACCCCAAGAACACCATCCCAACCGTGAAGCATGGAGGTGGAAACATCATTCTTTGGGGATGCTTTTCTGCAAAGGGGACAGGACGACTGCACCGTATTGAGGGGAGGATGGATGGAGCCATGTATCGCGAGATCTTGGCCAACAACCTCCTTCTCTCAGTAAGAGCATTGAAGATGGGTCGTGGCTGGGTCTTCCAGCATGACCCGAAACACACAGCCAGGGCAACTAAGGAGTGGCTCCGTAAGAAGCATCTCAAGGTCCTGGAGTGGCCTAGCCAGTCTCCAGACCTGAACCCAATAGAAAATCTTTGGAGGGAGCTGAAAGTCCGTATTGCACAGCGACACCCCCGAAACCTGAAGGATCTGGAGAAGGTCTGTATGGAGGAGTGGGCCAAAATCCCTGCTGCAGTGTGTGCAAACCTGATCAAGACTTACAGGAAATGTATGATCTCTGTAATTGCAAACAAAGGTTTCTGTACCAAATATTAAGTTCTGCTTTTCTGATGTATCAAATACTTATGTCATGCAATAAAATGCAAATTAATTACTTAAAAATCATACAATCTCACAGTTGAAGTGTACCTATGATACAAATTACAGACCACTACATGCTTTGTAAGTAGGAAAACCTGCAAAATTGGCAGTGTATCAAATACTTGTTCTCCCCACTGTATATATATAAACAATATATTTTTTTTAAAGAGCACGTATGCGGGCTAAAGTTTAACTTAAAACTTATGGCCTATTCCAGAACTTGGAAAAGATCCGGGGCTGTCTGTTTCCTCTATATGAGAGAGAACATGAGTAGTCTAGAAGCTAGAATATTTTCCTACCTCAACTCTTCCTTTGGACCTTCCAGAGGAGAAGGAGAGATCAGCTGTGCTAGAGCAGGAGAAGAAGGCTGCTGAAGAGAAACGGGTGGAGATGGAGCGCACCATGGAAGACGATCGCAGAAGCAAAGATGAGAAGTTGAAGCAGATGGAAGAGAAGATGAAGGAGGAGATGAAGCAACAGGACCGGGACTTCCACAGGGCCTTGGAGTGCAAGATGCAGGAGCAGAAGGATCTGCTGGAGAAGGGCCACAAGGAGAAGGTTGACTTAATGAGACAGGAGATAGAGGAGTTCAAGAAGAGCAACAAACCTGAGAAGGAAGGAGGTGGTTTCCTTGAGTCTACAGTCATGCCTATTTTTCGACTTGGAATGGACACTGTCAACACTTTCTTTCAATATAAGCTCATGAAGGCAGCTTTTATGAAGTAGAAACGTTGTGTATTACTTGAGCATGTACACATTTGCTAGCTTTATCTTGCAATGTAAAGCGGAAAGTCAAGTTGATAGCCACGCTTAGAATCAGTATAAGCTTTATATGCAAGAGTGAAGTATTATTTTTCTTATACAGCATATGTATTTATAGATTTTGGTGAAATTATCACTGTACTGGTATAGCGGTTAAATCTAGATGCTTTAATAAAAACATTTCTATATTATAACTGAGACTTTTCTTTAATCATAATATACACTGAACAAAAATATAAACTCAACATGCAACAATTTCAAAGATTTTACTGAGTTACAATTCATAGAAGGAAATCAATCAACTGAAATAAATAAATTAGGCCCTAGACTATGGATTTAACATGACTGGGAATACAGATATGCATCTGTTGGTCACAGATACCTTTAAAAAAAAGTTAGGGGCATGGATCAGAAAACCAGTCAGTATCTGGTGTGACCACCATTTGCCTCATGCAGCATGACACATCTCCTTCGCATAGAGTTGATCAGGCTGTTGATTGTGGCCTGTGGAATGTTGTACCACTCCTCTTCAATGGCTGTGCGAAGTTGCTGAATCTTGGCGGGAACTCTGTTCACAACGTTGACATCAGCAAACCAGACTCTGTTGAGGACGACGAGCACGCAGATTAGCTTTCCTGAGACAGTTTGTGCAGAAAGTCTTCAGTTGTGCAAACCCACAGTTTCATCAGCTGTCCGGGTGGCTGGTCTCAGACGATCCCGCAGGTGAAGAAGCCAGAAGTGGAGGTCCTGGGCTGGTGTGGTTACATGTGGTCTGTGGTGTTGAGGCCGGTTAGATGTACTGCCAAATTTTCTAAAATGACATATGAGGTGGGTTATGGTAGAGAAATGAACATTAAATTATCTGGCAACAGCTCTGGCTGACATTCCTGCAGTCAGCATGCCAATTGCACGCTCCCTCAACTTGAGACATCTGTGGCATTGTGTTGTGTGACAGAACTGCACATTTGAGTGGCCTTTTATTGTCCCCATTACAAGGTGCATCTCTGTAATGATCATGCTGTTTAATCAGCTTCTTGATATGCCACACCTGTCAGGTGGATGGATTATGTTGGCAAAGGAGAAATGCTCACTAACAGGGATGTGAACAGGGATGTTATTTCAGCTCATGAAATATGGGACCAACACTTTACATGTTGCGTTTCTATTTTTGTTCAGTATACTTTTCATGGTCTTATATTCTTTGAGAACGTTGTCTATTGAAGCAAAATATAATGAATATGGATATTATATCATTTGAAAACATAACCAATCTCTGAAGTTGTATATAAAATACATATCAGTTTGTAAATAAATACATTGTTTTGAATCCACTTTGAATCTTTGAGTGTTTATGTAAGTAGTAGTAGACCTGACGCTCCTCTTTTTAAACGTTTGAATTGTTTTTGTATTTTATTGAATATTAAAACATACAATCTACCTGCAGTGAAGCCACACAACATTTACATTACATTCAGTCATCTAACAGACTCCCATCTAGAGCGACCCACAAAAGCAACCAGGATCAACGACAGATCTCCCACCGGCCCAAGCTCCCAACCGCCAGGCCACCAACCCTCCAAGATCCCCCGACAGCTGCCCCTCAACCATCCGAGACCCCCCCCCCCCCCATAAAAAGTAATACAACTCTCCCTCCATTCCCCACCCCCAAAACCCCCCCTCCAAGTCCCCCAATGCACAAACAATCAACTAAATGAACAAAAGAGAAAAACAAAGGAAAACAACATTGCAAAAACAAAAGACATCAAGGACGCTCCTCAGATACTGGGCCACATTTTGGTGTTCAAATAGTTTTCAGACCACGAATCGATCACTTTGCACTTAAGAAATAGCCATTGGCTACTGTCTTTTCTGACACAGAGGAGCAAGAGAAGAGAGCCCTGGCTGAACAGGCAGTGAAGATGGAGGCAGAGAAACAGCACCAGTTAGAGAAACTGATCCAGGAGAGGAGTCATCAGGAGGGCATCCGTCAGCTAGAGGTATGTATGGACACTTTAAACCTTTTTTTTATATTTTTTATACCATGTCTCATAAAATAATAATATTTAATATTTTTAACTATAACCACAGATTGTAGTAACTGAGGGAGGTGAACACAGTAGTCTTTGAGAAAATGCAGCTTGCTTGTTATGTTGTCCCTCTGTGATTCTAGGGTAAGATGGTCCAGGAGGCAAAGGAGAAGCAACAGGAGTTGGAGAGAGCGCTGGATAGCAAGCTCCATGAGCAGGAAAAGCTGATGGCTAAGGGCTTCACAGAGAAAGAGGCAGCCATGAAGGAGGAGATACAGAGCCTGAGAGAGAAGGAGGAGGCCAAGCGCGAGGAGAAGGAAGAGCAGTGTCGTAACTTCAGAGCCATAGCACAGGGTGTCATAGAGAGTGTCAGCAATGGCTTAGGTCACTACTTTAACTATAGGAAAGCCTGTGAGGAACGCAAAGCGATTGTGTTCAAGGAGCGGGTCAGATCCACTTCCAAACTCAAATCAGGTGTGGTTGGCAATATCCCTGATTTGGAGCACAGAACACTCAAGCAAGACAAGACGACCACGCCCAAACTCAAAACAGGAGCAGTTAGCAACTCTAAAGATAATTAAACTCTGCCCAAAGTCAACACAGGTACAACTGGCAAAAGCCCTGGCTCAGAGTTCTAAAGGATGCGCCAGAGATTGGTCAATGGTCCAGATCAGCAGCCACACCTTTCTCCAGTCTCATCATTAACCAGAAGAGCCCACTAAACTACTAGGAAATAGTGCAACAGAAAGACTGCTGTGCAACAACGGTACAATGGGGCCAAACCAGCTGTCAGTTCACAGAAGTCAGTTCCTCAGTTTATAACCATTAATTTCTCATTCTGATAACATTTAATAATATTTAAACGTTATTATAGATCAGTCTTAGAATTGGAGTTAAGATTTGTGCTTTGTTTTGTTCTTGGATGTAGGGTAAAATAAATGAGCTTACTGAACTTGTCTAGAGGTCAAATTTGTTCTATATTACACGTAAGGCTAGAATGGAACTGCTCATCTTCAATCCACTTTTCACTTAAGGGTTGACCATTATCATCTTTTGAGATTGTTGTTTGAATAAACCTTGCTTCATCTGTATTCGATAACTTTTCACATTTTCTCTGATAGTGAAAATGGATAAAGCTAAACTTATTTTAATAGAGATATTGATCAATGGGGAGAACTGATGAGCTGAACACCCCCAGCTGAATCTCTACATGGAAACATAAGCACAGGCATTCACATGAAAAAGAGACACATCCTGTCTTTCAGTCACCTCATATCAATTTAATCAAATACAAACATGAGTACATCAGCAGCAGGACAACAAGAGGAACTGTAATTATGGAATGATATGAGCACATCTCTCTACTCAGATGACGTGTACCCAGATCAGTTGGTAGAGCATGGCGCTTGCAATGCCAGGGTTGTGGGTTTGATTCCCACGGGGGACCAGTATGAAAAGAAAATGAAAGAAAATGTATGCAATCACTAACTGTAAGTCGCTCTGGAAAATGAGCGTCTGCTAAATGACTAAAATGTAAATGTGATCAGTTTAGGGCGAAGATGAGACATTTTTATATAGACTACTGATCTCCATTAGTCTGCGGCTTGGACACACCACGCACATCAAGGAGTTAGCCACCTACTTTGACAAACAGATATACTGTACCCTGCTGAAAAAAAGAGCATAGACCAGCATAGGCTGGTGACCAGCCTTCATTGTGTTTTCTCTGGTGACCAGCCTTCATTGTGTTTTGGACACTGGTCACCCACACAACCTGCATCATCTTACATTATGCTGGCTTGCAAAGTGATAGCTAATGCCTATTAGACTCCAGCCTGAGTGGGGCTAGCCAACAATTGGGACTTTTATTCACCCACAATCTACATTCAGAATGCTTGTCAGGATTAGAAAGATGACTAAATGAGCCTACCTAAACCAGCTAAATGGGAACAACCATTTCAGTAACGGTGCAATAATTCCAACTAACAGTTTGGATTAGTTTAGAAAAAAGTATGTTATTTATCATTGTGTAGCATAAAATCAATTAATTGATTAATTAGTCAATAAATGTGTTTTAATAGAGATATTGATCAATGGGGAGAACTGATGAGCTGAACACCCCCAGCTGAATGCAAAAACACAGATATTGAAACAAACAATAAAATAAATAAATAAATATTTCTGCAATAGAGCATGCTGAGAAATATGATAATGATGGGCGTGGTTTTGCCGACCAGCTAGACCATGCTGGACCAGCATACACTCTTTAAAAAAGTTTCCTGAGGGGTTCTTTGTCAGGGGTGAGGGTGATATGTGTAACCATATATATTTTTTGCATATCAGGATGGGTTCTTTACTGCTGTGAATGTTGTGAAGAACCTTCCTGTTCTTTCCCTCGCCACCATGTTTTCCTTTTATGCCATGAAATGCTGCTGTTAAAAAGTTGATTTCATTGAATGGGACAGTACAAGCTACTGGTTGCAGTAAAAGTAAGGTAAACAACAGGTTACTGACTTTTTACAACTGAATGAAGGTGTTATTGCTGTAAAAGGACAGTAGGCTGCTGATTATTTGAGACTATACCTCACTTGGGATTTGAACTCACAACCTTTCAATTGCTAATGACCTGAATTTCCTGCTATGCCACCAGGTCTGTGGGTATAATAGAGATTGGCCACAGATTTAATGGCAGGAATACATATATCCAAACTCAAAATTAGGGTAAGGTTAGGGTACATGGTTGTTCCCTGGGGTACAAAAAAGTCAAAGGTACACATAAGGAACCTTCAGAGGTACACATAGGAACTCACATGGTGCTGGTCGGTTCCTTTTTTGTGTACATGTGTGTATTATCTATAAATAAAACAAATTATTTGAACAACAGAGCACAAAGTGTGGTTTCACATCAAACATTTTTAAAATTATGTGTTTTCAACAGGATTCGACCTCATACCCTCACGTCCCTGAATGTTCCATAGTTCCCTATGGAATTTTGTACAAAGAACTCAATATAATTGTAAGAACGGTGCCCGGAAGAGGTCAGTGTTTGTCAGCAGCTTTGAATCAAAGAAAGCACTGGAACCACAACGAAATCAGTGGGAGCTCGCATTTGCAATACATGGTTTGAAAAAGCATGTGATCAAACAAAGCTTCAGACATCATTGATGACATACTTCTGATAAAGTGATACATGCATCAGCACACTGCTTCGAAGTTAGCTGCTTAGCAATTTTGACGCATGCCTTGGAGTTCCCGTATCAAAAACAACATCACTTGCCAATTCAGTAATGCAGAATTCACAGCAACTTACATGCAACTAACTTCCATTAAGTTACTGTGAAATACACAGTAAGCACTTACCAGTGCAGCTCTTTGTCACGCCCTGGCTCTGGGGACTCTAGTATGTTGAGCCAGGGTGTGAGTTTTCATGTATTTTACATTCTAGGTTGAGTATTTCTATGTTGGCCAGTGTGGTTCTCAATCAGAGGCAACGAGTGTCAGCTGTTGCTGGTTGTCTCTGATTGGGAACCACATTTAGACAGGCTGTTTTCCCACAGTGGTTGTGGGATCTTGTTCCAAGTAGGTTGTGTTTGTCTAAGGACGTCACGTTATCGTTTTGTTGTTTTGTTCGGTAAATCACTAATAAATATGTTCACAAATAACGCTGCGCATTGGTCCTCTGTTCCCGACGATCGTGACAGAAGATCCCACCAAAACTGGACCAAGCAGCGTGTCCAGGAGCCATCGCCAGGGGAATCGCTAGCGGATCTCCGTGGCAACCTCGACTGTGTCAAGCCTAGTGAAGAGCAGAGAGGGTGGACTTTGGAGCAGTGGAGGAAGAGTCTCGACTGGGTCAAGCCAAATGAAGAGCAGAGTGGTTGGACTTTGGAGCAGTGGAGGAAGAGTCTGGCGAGAGATAGGGAGGCTTGGTCCACGGGGAGGAGAGACACCCCAAACATTTTTAGGGGGCAGCACGCCGTGGACGACGGGGCAGCAGGAGGCCGCGATGGAGCGGTCCAGCGGGTTTGCAGAGGAGGCCGCCAGGTTAAGGGGGCCACTGGTCACAGAGGAGAGGGAAAGTGTAGAGGCACGGCGAGAGGTACTGGGGTGTGTTACCAGTCCGGTCCGGCCTGTTCCTGATCCCTGCGTAGGGCCAGTGGTGTGTGTCCCCAGTACGGTCCGGCCTGTTCCTGCTCCCCGCACCAAGCCTATGGTGCGCGTCGCCAGCCCGGCCCGGCCTGTTCCTGCTCCCCGCACCAAGCCTATGGTGCGCGTCGCCAGCCCGGCCCGGCCTGTTCCTGCTCCCCGCACCAAGCCTATGGTGCGCGTCGCCAGCCCGGCCCGGCCTGTTCCTGCTCCCCGCACCAAGCCTATGGTGCGCGTCGCCAGCCCGGCCCGGTCCATTCCTGCTCTCCGCACCAAGTCAGTGGTGCGCTTCATCAGCCCGGTCCGGCCCGCTCCTGCTCCCCGCACCAAGCCTATGGTGCACGTCGCCAGCCCGGCTCGGCCTGTTCCTGCTCCCCACACCAAGCCAATGGTGTGCGTCGTCAGTCCGGCACAGCCCGTGCCTGTTCCACCGGTGCCTGGTCCAGTACCGGTCAGCTGCTCCACGCCGGAGCTAGAGCAATCCGCTCCACCAGTGTTCAGTCCAGCTCCGGCCAGCAGGGCCAGACCGGACCAGGGCTACTTTGGGGGGTTAGAGAGGGAGTGGGGATCATGCCCGGAGCCGGATCCGCCGCCAAGGCGGAGTGCCCACCCGGTCCCTCCCCTGTGGTGTTTGGTTGGCGCGGTCGGAGTCCGCGCCTTTGGGGGGGGGTACTGTCACGCCCTGGCTCTGGGGACTCTAGTATGTTGAGCCAGGGTGTGAGTTTTCATGTGTTTTACATTCTAGGTTGAGTATTTCTATGTTGGCCAGTGTGGTTCTCAATCAGAGGCAACGAGTGTCAGCTGTTGCTGGTTGTCTCTGATTGGGAACCACATTTAGACAGGCTGTTTTCCCACAGTGGTTGTGGGATCTTGTTCCAAGTAGGTTGTGTTTGTCTAAGGACGTCACGTTATCGTTTTGTTCGGTAAATCACTAATAAATATGTTCGCAAATAACGCTGCGCATTGGTCCTCTGTTCCCGACGATCGTGACACTCTTTTACGTCAAACACTCTTACAAAGACTAACACTGACAGTGTTAAAAGATGTGCTCATGCTTTGATGACATAACCATCAACCACTTCAACTGGTACAACACTTCCACTAAATGGTTGGCACATGGTCTAAAGCATTAAACCATGCCTCCAAATATGTTAATGAGCCCCTGCCAGCACATTGCCGCCATCTACATTTCAAAGTGCAGTGAAATTAACGTAAACAACAGGTCATTTTACAACAATAACCGCTTAATTTAGCTGTAACTCAGTAGCCAATAACTTACTGTGAAATTACAGGTAAGTTTTAACAGTGTGTTCCATAAGCACATCTGAAGTATCCGATAAGTGTAACTGTAGAACCTGTCATTGGTTCTACCTGGAACCAGAGGGTTCTTCATGATAGGGTTCTAAATGGAACTCAAAAGGGTTCCGCTACC